AGAAATTTTCAGAGTACTGTAACGTAAAAAGGTATACATAACAAGAAATAACACATGAGCAGTACCCTAGGACACTGGCACAGAGACTCTTGTAATTACTATCCTCCCAAAGCTAATAAATATCCCGATTTCTACCAACATAAGTTAATTTTACCTGTTTTTGAACTTTAAGTATATTTCACAATATATTCACTCTATCTTTTTTCCTTCACCTAAATGGTATAGGTGAATTAATGTAGATTATACCACGTAGGTTCTGTTTCCATTTTGTTTTGTTAACTGGTTTAGATTGGTTAATAATTATGATCAAAAATCAATATTATTTGAAAGTTTCAAGTAAAGTTTAATATTATTGATGTGAGATCATGACTGCTGGGGTATCATGAAGAAGAAAGGACAAAAAATTTTTTAAAAAACAATATGGCTAAAGAAATTCTCCACCTGATATTGACTCATGTCTGAATCATGTTTCATATCACAAAAATTGACCTGCTTGATTCACCACCATTATTATTAAATAATTACTGCAGCTTGCAAACATAGATTTCTAATTGTGTGGTTCATTATTGATAAACTGTGAGTATGTGTGTGCATGTGTATATGTATGTCCCTTGCTTGATGCAAGGTTACGGGCTCTTTGACTAATCTCCAAAATGCTCATTTAACCTACAAAAGAGGAAAATAAGGTAATAAAGTACTAATTTTCTCAAAGCAATGTAGGGGGAAAACTAAAATTGGAATTGAGCTCATTAATATTGCTGAGTGCTTCCTTTTGATAGAAAGGATTTGAAATATTTGACTAAGCCCTTTGCTTTCCTACTTCTTTCCCTTTAAAGAAATTGATTTCAGGATCTGTAACATTTGGAAGGAAAGAAAACAGACCCAGAAAAGTGAGTTTTTGTAAGAGCTTTGTGAGAAAGTAAGTTGATCAACCTTCTTTATTCTATTCTTACTACCAATACAACGTAAGTGTTTAGCGACCCAGTTAGTACACACTCAAGTCATGTGACCCTTTCTTGTTAGAATTGAGGTGACCTGGACCAAATGCAATAATGGGGCTGACTACAGTAGTATTCTTTTTGGTGTCCTTATTCTACTCCACAAGAATAAAAGGCTTCCTATAAATGTTAAGTCCCATCAAAGTTTAGTCTTATCCCTAACAAATTACACATTCCTTCTTTGAAGTCCTAAAGAATAGATGCTATCTGTACCTACTCAGTTTTGAACTAAAGATTTGATGAAGTGGCTTATTCACACACAATTTCCTCTTGAGAAAAAGAAGAAAGAAAGAGAGCAATGACATAAAAACATCCTGCAGACCTGCAGTTTAAGAGATTAGCTAAAAAATCCAAAAAAAAGAGTATGGAGTTAAACCACATTGAGAGTCATAAAAATTTTTATTTAAAAACCTGGAATTTGGCCAAAGATTAAGATTCCTCTACAGTGTATAGAGTTTAGAAGAACCTAATCTTGAATGATGAGTAGTTTTAGCCCTAGTGAAAAAAGGGGTTTCCAGAAGTCCTCAATTAGCATCTGGAAGTCTTAGCTGTGAACTTAATGCAAAAACTCATCTTGCTTTCTGTGCTCATTACTCAGACTTAGATTTAGGAATTGTCCCTTGAGAAACTATGCTGCTTATTAGAAACAGCCCATACTTCAAATACTTAAAATGCCAGGTGTGGTGGCCCATGCCTGTAATTCCAGCACTCCAGAGGCTGAGGCAAGAGGATTGCTGTGAGTTTGAGGCCAGCCTGAACTACACAGTAAAACTCTGTCTCAAAAAAAAAAAAAAAAAAAACAAACAAACAAGAAAGCCTCTTGAGTCTAGATTTTTTTCCTTACTGTCACCAGAATGCAGAGGAGGAGGGTGTAGACCAGTAATATGTATCTAGGTTAATAGTGAAAGGAAAAGAGCAAGCCTGTCATCGCCACCTTTTGCCCTTCAGCACAGTTTGGCTCTGCTCCACTTATGGCAGGCTTGTTTTAGCCTATGATTTACTGTCTGCTAGTCAAACCTGTCTCCTAGTCTGTGTCAGAAAAATTCTTCATTTAATCTAAAATGAGAAAGAAAAGAAAGAACATTTGTATTTTGTGCTCAGCAACAGGATAGGGACCAGAGTGGGGTGAAATTTTAAATAGTCTCTGAAAGAGCAGGAATTAGGGAGAGTTAAGTGAAGCAAAATTATGCAAGTCAGTATCTGCCTTTATTTAAAATCTTGATATTTTGTTTGTCGTGGATACTATTTACCTTGATTAATGAGTGTTTTGCTGCCCTCTTAAATTTTGCACTCAAGGCAAGTAACCTCACTTACTTCACATAGTCCTCACCCTGCTCAGGAAAATGAGACTCAGAGGTCAAATAATTTGCTCATGGACATCCAACTAGTGAGTGACAGGGCTGGGATTTGAAGCTAAATTGATATGGATTTAAACCCATGCTTTTCTCACTAAATCATCAGTCTTTTAACAGTCCTCGTAAAGGATCATTTTTGTACCACTCACAGTCAATCTATAACATAAAGATGCATTCACCTGTACAAAAGTGAGGGAAAGCCCTTCATTCTGAACCTAGAGTGTATGGACTATTCCAAATGCCAAATGCTTCTGAGAGGTCAAGTTGGCTTTATGCCCGATTCTTTTTTTTTTTTTTTTGTCTTTTGAGACAAGGTCTCCCTATGCAGTTCAGGCTGGTCTTGAACTCACTTTGTAGCCCAGGTTGGTCTCAAACTTGCAACAATCCTCCTGCTTCAGCCTACCGAGTGCTGGAATTACAGGAGTGTGCCACCATGCCCAGCTCTGCCTGATTCTTTTTTTTTTTTTTTTTTCTTACCAGTACTGGGGATCGAACTCATGACCATGTACTTGCATGGAAAGTGATTATGCTGCTGAGCTAAATCCCCAGCCCCCTCTGCCTGATTTTTATAATATAATCCAACCCTTTTATCCATGATTTTATCCATTGGGCTTCTCCCTAAGAATATCGAAATCTTAGGATGCTCAAGACTCTCCTGTAAAATGGCAAAGTATTTGTATATGAAAATAGTTGACATATTTATATATATTTAGGGAATAACAGGATAAAAATCTGTACATGTTTATTACAGAGTAGTTGACTATATGTATGCAGAAACTGTAGATATAGAAAGCCAAGTGTATTGCTTTGCATCTGGTGCCTCTGTGTGTGTGCACGCATGTGTGCATGCATGCACACATGAATGCATACACTCACGATTGAACTCAGGGCCTTACATATGCTAAACAAGTGCTCTATTATCAAAGTGCACCTGCAACTCCTCCTTTTGGCCTCTAAGACTTTTTTCCTGGCTTTCCTCCCACATTTTTGGTCATACTTTTTCTGCCCACTTCATGGACTTGCTTCCTCTTTCTACTTTTTATTTTTTTTGTCTTTTTGACACAGGGTCTTGCTATGCAGTTCAGGCTGGCCTTGGCCTCACTTTGTAGCCCAGTCTGGTCTCAAACTTGCAGTGATCTTCCTACCTCAGCCTCCCAAGTGCTGGGATTACAGGAGTGTGCTACCACACCCCCCTTCTTATTTCTTAAATGTCACACCATTTTTCCCTAGGTATACTGATGACTAACCATAATTGAACTTTAGTCCAGACTTCCAAATGAGCTGCCTACCAGTTATCTCCAATTGGATGTTTTAAAGATACTGCAATTCAATAAACCTTAAATTGGGTTATTCATTCCTTTCTACTCCTGGTCCACCATTTCTATGACTCCCAGTATACCATTGTTTACACATCTGTTTTCCCCCACTGGACTGAAAGCTCGTTGATCCTGTCTTAGTCTTCTCTATAACTTTAATGCATATCACATAGTAGATGTTTATTAAATATTTGTTAAATTATAATTAATAAACTTGAACCAGGCTAACTAAAGTACTGTAAAATCCTAAGTTTATCTTAGTGAATATTAGAATGACATTGTTTTTCTATATTTTAGACATGCAAGGGATAACACTTACATACATTTTTATTTTTCTATTTGCACAGCAGTTTTCTATTTTTATGGGTTCCAGAAATAAAATCTGCAGTTCAGCTCTTTTTTTTAATATTATAGATTCCAAATTAAGGAACCCAAATCCATGAGGCTTTGCCATACTGTGCCCTGTCTTGTTTCATTTTGTTTGATATTTGTACACATCTGGGGTTGGACAAGGCAGACACTAAAAATGTGGATGTGGCTAACACATATGAGTTTTTATAGATCCAATGAATTTTCTTTGAAACTCTTAATGCTTATGATTCCTAATCAGCAATTCTTTTTAAACTATAAATCCAAATTCTTTGCTTTATTACTTTTGGTGCTTGTCTTGTTCTATTAAAACTATTCTTAGAAAATTACACAAACTTGTGGTTTATTTAAAAAAAAACTGATTTCTTGAAGTTCTAAAAGTGGGGAAGTCCATGGTCAAAGTGCCAGGAAATTTGGAGTCTGGTAAGGACCTTCTTTCTAGCTCATAAACAGTTCCTCCTGATTGGGTCTTTATGTGGTAGAAGTGGCAAGGTAGCTCTCTGGAACCTGTTTAAATAAACACATTAGTCCTACTCATGAGGGTTCCATCCAGTGACCTAATCAATTCTCCAAGTCGCATCTACTAGTACTGTCATCTTGAGGATTAAGATTTCAGCATGAATTTTGAGGGACACAGGCATTTAAACCACAATTATGCTGCTACGAAGTTTTACGTCACAGGCATCCTAGCAGATTGCTTGCTTTTTTAAAATCTTAAATACAAGGCTATTAGGGAGAACAGAGTGAAAAACAGGATATTCTTGGTTGATATGAGTACCAGGAATCAAACTCAGAACCTCATACTTGCCAGGCAGGCACTGCACCACTGAGCCAAACCCCCAACCTCCTTGGCCGATAGGGAAGGGTATTGGTATGGAAGGAGGCCTCTGCTTGTGTTTTATTCATTCCAATGTTAAAGTCATGGTTAATGCAGTAATTTCCTTATGGTGTCCCCCCTCTAGAAACGTGCTTACAAGAGCTATGTCAGAGCCCTTCCTCTGCTGAAGAAAATGGGCATTAATTCCATTCTCCTCCGAAAAAGCATTGGTGCCCTTGAAGTAGCCTGTGGCATCGTTATGACCCTTGTTCCTGGACGTCCCAAAGATGTGGCCAACTTCTTCCTACTTTTGCTGGTGTTGGCTGTGCTCTTCTTCCACCAGCTGGTCGGTGATCCCCTCAAGCGCTATGCCCATGCTCTGGTGTTTGGAATTCTACTCACCTGCCGCTTGCTGATTGCCCGAAAGCCTGAAGATCGGTCTTCAGAGAAGAAGCCCTTGCCAGAAAATGCTGAGGAACAGCCCTCCCTGTACGAGAAGGCTCCTCAGGGCAAAGTGAAGGTGTCATAGGAAAGTGGAAGTGCAAAATATGGACCTTCCAGGCAGTTGCCTCTATGACAGCTGGGAAGATGTCAATTTCTGTTTTTAATTTGGTTTATTTATCTTGGGGGGAAAGGGAAAATATTATCTGCAATTTAATTGAATCGTGTACATCTATACCCCAAAATAATCTCCCCACATTGACATTTGTGAACCACTTTTAATCGCTCTGGGGTGACACTCACGTCTTGCTGCATGTATGCATATATGGCTACTATTGTGAGATGGACTCCAGCAAGCATGTGACTGTGAAATTATGTGTGGGAAAAATGAATTTACCTACTATGTGTGTGTATGCACACATATATGTAAAAGGCTCTCATCTTGAACTAATCCTGAACAGGTATCCTTCCCTTTATAAATTGATTCCAGCAAAGGTAGAATAAAATAAACCACCTGTAAAGAGAATTCTACTTCTGGTGTAAAGCAAATTATCTATTTACATGTGGGAAGGGGATTCCTCTCTAGGTGAAGCCAAAAACTTAAATTTATGACTTCAGGAAAGAACCCCTTTGACTTTAATCCCTGAGTTATATTTAAAATTAGCCTCTACTTTAACAATTAAGTTTTTAACATTCAACGGAGAGTTTAATTAAAACAAGGACTTCATCAGGCATAGTGGCATAAGCCTTTAATCCCAGCACCCTGGGAGACTGAAGTGGGAGGATCGAGAGTTTGAGCCCAATTTGGACAACCTGGTGACTTAGTGAGATCAGCTCAAAATAAAAACAGAAAAGAGCTGATAATGAAACTCTGTGAAGGCCCTGAGTTGAGTCTTCAGTACCAAAATAAAATAAGGAATCTATGCAATCAGATAGTCCAACTCTTCAAGTCATAAAATAGGAAGTTTCACCTCGATTGTGTCTGAGCCCAACTGATTCAGTTCTTTTACTAATACTAATTTGAAACTGAAGCAGTAGATTTGTTTCCAAACATCTTCAGATTTTCTTAAGGCTAAAAATGTCTCATTTGCACTACTCTCAGTAGCTAACCAGGATTTGGCCGCTGACCCACTGTTGAGGGAGCAGGGGTTGGCCTTGTTAGAACTCTGAATCTCAAACACCATCTCTTCAGAAACCATCCATAACTTGATAGATGAGCTGTATCCAGTGTTTCCCTGACAGACAGATTCACTACTCCTGTTGATTATTCACTGAATTTAGGTAGCGTAAACAGAGTTCAAATCATTCTCATAGTTGTCTCTGTTCCACCTTTTTATGATTCCCATGTGTGGAGTTTAGCTGGAGGAAGGACATTTGATATAGGTTAGTTGGATTGAGCAGTATGGAAATTTGTCTTTTTCATTACATACTACTGTTTCTCCTTGTTAAATATGCTTTGAGGGTTTTAAAATTATTGTGTTAGGGATGGGAAAGGGACAGAGGGCTATGTGTGGGGAGAGTACTTATTGTATTTTCTTCAGTGTAATTGTTCTTGGTAATTGATATTTCTCTCATTCTTTCAAAATAAAATTTTTTGAAATTTGGAGACAATTGTCTGGATATATGATAAAATATGGAAAAAAAGAGTCAAATCAAAACGTTCAGGCTCCTTTTCCTTAGGTCTGAATGAAGAAGAAAGAGAAGGGTCAGTATAATGTAATCACTTAATATAGTTGTGAAGTCGTCAATTTATGAATCCCATTTGAATTGCCACACATCTTTTTGATGTTAGCATATAAAACAGAAATTCATAGAATTAGGATTAGAATTGTATTGAATTAGGATTCAATACAATTGCCAGGTTTGGGAGTTGTTAGGTGACATCAAGGAACAACAGAAACATTATTTTAGAGAAAATCAAATGCATGTTAAATAAATGAGAACCACTACACCTCATTATGTATGCATCCACAAAGTGTCATGGGTTATACAAGTTGCGAGGCCAGTTCTCATCATCTACATAAGGTGATTATTGAAGCCTTAAAATCCCTTCCAGTTTACCTTTCTCTGAATATGTAAAACAATTAAAAGCATGACAGTGACTCCATAAAATTTCAATTTTATTGAAGAGCAGCTATCACAGAAAAAGTTGCCATTTAAATTTTTTCATGCATATTAAATAAGAGTTCATGAAACTATCCTGAAAAACATGTAAGTACAAGATATATTAAATAGTCATTTCTGCTGGGGTCTTTCCCAATCACTGTACGTTGATTTAATCTTTGATTATTTATCTTTCTCTACGGTTAAAGTTTTCCACTAGTTTTGCCTAGTTTATACATACATTTTGGCCTCAAGTCAGCGAGAGACACGTTTGTATTTCCTTCTTCTATTAGTAAATTTAAATTAGGGGTAAACTCAGATCTCAGAATAAGTCCTTGTTGCTGTTTTAGCCAGTTTCTTTAAGGTCAATTTATTCTTCAAGTTAAATAATACTTACATGTTGACAGCCAGCTAACTAGGAGGTAACTCAACATCTGGCTCAGGACACGGTTTCCAGAAAGCCTTGGAGATACTATATCCTTTTTTAAAATTATTTTTATCGGTACCGGGGATTGAACTCACGACCGCCTGCTTGTAAGGTAGGTACTTATGCCGCTGAGCTAAATCTCCAGCCCGAACTATGTCTATCCTTTGTAAAAGCAGGGCAGCGCCAGTTCTTTCCTCCTACCCAGCTTAACGGGACAGATTTCTTTAAGTCTCCGTAAGGGAGAAGCAGCTTTTATTGTGAGGTTTGTGGTTTCGTTTTTCCTGTGAAGTCCAGAATTTGGAGTCAACCTGAGCAAAACGAACACTACAGATGATCAAGAATCAAGACTTTAACTGTTTTTGTTTTACGCAAAACGACGAATACCAATCATTATTAGAGCACCGAAAACGGCATAATGGCATCCACTCGAGGCCCGCCTCCGACCTAGAAGGGTGGAGTAAGTGTTTTCCTTAGGTGGTTTGCGTCATTGCTTGTGCGCGCGACACCTCCTGCTTTAGAGCTCTATTCCAACCAATCAAACTTGAGCAGAACTCGCTACTTCACCTAGCGGCGAAGTCTCTTCCGAAGCGCATGCGCGGGGCGGGGCTGTGCCTTTGAATCCTGGAAGCGGCGTTTAGAAGATGAGGTTGCCGGCGGCAAGAGAGTAACAGGTAGTATGCTGGGCTTGTCTTTTCTTATTTCGCTTTCGGCTGGGGTAAACTGTGAAAATGACTCTTAGGAAGCGCTGGAAGGGTTCATGCGAATGGGGTCGGAAGCTGCTCCTCCCTCCCTTCTTTCGTGGGAGTCTAGTAAACATCTCAGAACTGGAACCTCTAGCTCTGACCCCATTTGTTTCTAGGGAGGTGGGTTTGACTATCATTTGAAGTTTATCCCGTTTGAAGCCAAAACTTAGAAACCTTGGTTATCTTGTGGTTTTCCCCTATTTCTAATTCTTTAATCACAACCTATCCAGTCTACCCCAAAACACAGGAATCCAGTCGTGTGCCATTTCCACATTGCTACACCTTGGGCCTAATGTAGATTAGTTACGTTTTCTGGACTTCTGCAAGAGACTTTTTAGTTGGTCTCTTGACACTCTTGCTATTTTTTTTTTTGAACTAAGTTTCACTGTGCAGTTCAGATTGGCTTTGAGCTTGCTCTGTAGCACAGGCTGACCTTGCAGCGTTTCTCCTACCCTAGTCTCCGAAGTGCTGGGATTACAGGCATGTGCCATCACGCCAGGCTACACTTTGGGTTTTTTGAGATAGGGTCTTGCTGTGTAGTTCAGGCTAGTGCAGCAGCCTAGGTTGGCCTCAAACTCGCAGCAGTCCTGCCTCAGCCTCTCAAATAGGATTATGGGCTGCGCACCGTTCCTGGCTTCTTGCCACTCCTTAACCCACATTATAATTCCAAACTGTAGGTACATTGCTTGTAAAGCACACATCAGATAGTATTGCTCCAGGCTGTGACTGCTCCCTTCTCTGGTTTCCCTCGACACTGCAAATACAAACTCATTACTCTAGACCTACAAAACCCAATGTGATCTACTTCTTAGCTATCTTTTTTATCTTTTCAATTTTTTTACTTTTATTTGTACATGTTTGCAGTATATAATTACATTCACTGTAGAAATTAGTGCATGTACAAAACACATTTTAATCCCCTTCTTCCCCCTACACCCTTTTAAAAATATTTCTATCATCATAATCATTTATTACAAGACCTTATAAATTATTATATACACAGATTCAAATTCAGACTAATAGGCCAAAGAACATATAAAACATGATAATTGTACTAAAAGGAAGTACACTTTCAGATACGTTATCTATGCTACATTACAATACCTTTTTTGTTTTTTCCTACTATCTGTTGTTTATTGTTTTGTACTATACATAGGGAGAGACAGAGTTTTTCATGTAAGAGAAGCCATGCAATATTTAAATTCATGTGTCTGAGGTATGTTACTTAATATGGTAGTCTCAAGGTGCATTTATTTGCCTATAAATAACTCAAGTTTGTGCTTTTTATGGCAGAGAAGTATTCCACTGTATATAAATACTACATTTTTTAATCCATTGATTTGTTGATGGACATATAGGCAGTTTGCAAGATTTAGCTGTTATGAATTGCACTGTTATAAACATAGATATGCATACATCACTGTGGTGTGATGCCTTTAACTCTTTTGGGAATATACTTATAAGGGGAATAGCTGGGTCAAATGGAATTTCTAGTTTTAGTTTTTTGAAGAATGTCTATATGTCTATACTATGTATTTTTATATTCAGCCTTTGATTTCCATAGTGGTTGTATCAGTTTACAGCCCCCTCCAAAATTGGGAAGGTTCCTTTCTCTCCACAGCCTGGCCACCATTTGTTATTGGTTGATTTCTTTTTGGTATCTGGCCACCTTTTTAAACATTACCTTTCACTACCCGTTACCTCTTCATTCTATTCTCTTCACTTGTTTCTTTAGCACATAGAACCCTTGTTTTAATGTCTTGGTATGTCTTCCCATTCCCTCCCTCTGAAACATCCTTCCACCAGATTTTCACATGGTAGGTTTCTTGGCATTGAAATTTCAGTTGAAGGTCATCTCAGAGAGACTTTCTTTGAACACATACTTCAAAGTAGATTCCTACTTTATCCCATTTCTATCACATTATTGTATTCAATATTAGTTATTAATTGACTATTAATCCCCACCATTGCTTCCCTCATCTCATGTAGGGGCCTTGATTATTTTATTTTTTATCTCTGGTAAGTAGAGTTGCACTTGTCAGATAAGCTATGTTAAGTAATTATTGAATACAGTAATTTATACATGGAGAATATTTCTGTCCGAGAATGCTTAGTCAGGTCACCAGTTTGGCTTTTTAATTGTGCATTTTTAACTTAGCACTGACAAATTGGAGACCATAAACATTAAAAACAAAACCAAGGAGAGAAGAAGAAAGTAAGAGTAGAGAATGTAAGATTGTGTTCATGGAGATGAATTAGTTTTGGACTTGCTTATGTAGTGTAGTCATGTTAAGAACAAATTTATATTGGCCAAAGTTCTGCTGATAAATGTTACCCTGGCAAGTTGTTGCTATTTCTATTTACGTCAAGGGCTTTCTGAAAAAGCTAACGTATAGGTTTTGTTTCCCAGCTAGTTAACTTATTTGCTGCATGCCTGTTGTATGCTAGGTACCATGTACTAAATGTGGGAATGCAGGCAGATATGGTCCCTGTCTTTGTGGAGGGGAAAAAAATGACTATTTGGCTGATGATAACTTGACACACGTTTCTGTACAGAACATATACAGTAATGTTGCTTCAAAAGAGAGTTAAGAATTCTCAGGCACAGAATAGAACTTCTATTCAGCAAGTTAAGAATACTTTTCAAGCCAGTCTCTCAGCCTGAAAAGTAAAACAGAAACCAAGTGACTCAAAGATCAACTTGGGAAAGAAACAGTCTTGTGGAAGCTCATGAGCATGCGGATGAAGACACTCTGCAAGTAGCAGTAGAATACTTTGAGAAAGGTAAAAACACATTATTTTCCTTATGAAATTCTTATTTTTCTGGTCTTTTCCTTAATAGTTTTAAAAGGAAAGCATATTTTGCTCATTTATGCTTTTGTTTATTTAACAGACATTGATTAAGCTGTCCACTACCTATCAGTATGCAAGGTACTACAGACACAACCAAAAAATACCTTCCCAGCAGAGGCTGCCAAATGGGCACATAGAGTAAGTACTTAAGAATCTTTGAAACATATTAATGCCTGTGGTTCACTCTTAGATATTCTGATTCTTTTGATATTAAATTCAGACTGGTATTGGGACTTTTAAAAGGCTTCCTAGGTGATCCCAATCAATATTATAAGAAAGTTTGAGAATCATTGTCCTAGTGTTGAAAGAGAATATATAAAATGTGTCCTACCTTTTGGCTTGCCTGAACCACATTGAGTGAGGAGGAAGTGCTTTAGGCTGCATATAAAATACATAGTATAGTTAATGTGTGTAGCAGAATTTCTTTTTTTGTATTTGTAAGATTGAAAAAAGAGAGCATGGGGCCTTTAGACGATATCTGGACACACTTGGAAATTGAATGCTTTTAATCTAGAGCAAGATAGCTAGATCATGATTCAATTCTCACAGAAGGTACTATTTATTTGTTAAATATTCTAGAGTTTTAAAGACTTTCAAGGGTTTTTAGGAAGTTTTTAAAAGTTTTATTAATACATGTTTGTAGTATATAATGATTACATTCATTGTGGTAAATTGGTACATGTACATGACACATCTCTAGTCTCCCTTCCCCATGTATCCCCCTCCCTGTTTAACAGCGTCAGATTCATTTATTATGAATACATTTTTTACATAAAACTATTCCATTAGAGAATCACAAGATGTAATCCAAGGTGAGGCTGAGAACTAAAAGAATTTTAAAAGTTTCACTATTTAATATTGTTCCTTTTTTGAGATCCCTTTAAAACTGCATGGAGGAAAGATAAAATTTTGGAAAAACACTTGGAAACTGGAAATTGTGGCTTGGAAAAAACGGTTAGCTCCAGTAGTGATTGACATTTTATTGAATGTGGCACTCAGTGGCAAATTTGGTATGTTTTGTTTTGTTTTTGAGATAGGATCTTACAACGCAGTTCAGGCTGGCTCCGTGAGCTCACTTTGTAGCCCAGGCTGGTCTTGAACTCACAGTGACTTTCCTGCCTCAGCCTCTTGAGTAATGGGATTACAGACGTGTGCCACCATGCCCAGCTAAATTTGGTATGTTGAAACATATGACCTTTGTCATATGTTTGCTGTTAGATTTGCCTTTCAGACTTTAGTTTATTCTTTTTTTTTTTTTATTTAAGAGGAAAAAGAGAAAAACACAAAACAAACCAAAGCGGCGTAAGGGTACACGCAATACAGAACTACAAAACAAAACAAAACAAAACAAAAAACCATAACAGTAAGAAATTACCTGCTAGTAGATTACACACTATCTTCTTGAAAATAGTTCCTCAAATCACAGTATCAAAGAACACAAGGTGGACATTCAAACAGGGAGACTGCAAACAGCTGTGTTCAATGTTCCAAAATAGTTTATTCTTTTGAATCAATTACTTTTACTGTTCTTCTTAAAAGACCAATCTGGTAATATTATAAAATGAACCTTTCCTGTGTTTAGATTCTGAGCCAAAAGTTTCTGTCTACCTATTGTTGAAAATAATCAGTTACTGCATATCTTTACAAATAAAGTGTATGGATTTTTTTCACCAAATATATGGAACCATTTTAGCATTTTTCTTTAGAAGAATAGATAATAATTTAAATAATGTTACCTGAAGGCATCTTAAGAGATTAATGTGTTTCATTGCTTAAAGGTTTACTTGTCTGTAAAACTTTTTTTCATACTGTCTTCATTTTAGTGTCTCTGACCTTAATAGTCAAGTCAATTTTTCTTTTGTATAAATTTTTCTTTCTTGGTTTGGACTTTGGAGTGGTACATGTTCTTACAAATAACACCTCATCAGTCTTTTTTTTGTTTTCACCTTCTCTCATCTAAATTCAGACAAGGTATTTTAAACCCTAAATATCTTTTTTTTCCAAATGAGGAAACAGGTCCAGTGTGGTTAAAGAGATTTTTTTTTAACGTTAGAGCTAGAACTCAAAAAGTCAGATCTCCTAACTCCCATTCTAGTGTTTTTACTTCATACCACACTGCTACTGTTTTTTCTATTAATACAGCTGTCAAAATGTGATGCTTAAATCACAAAATCAAAGCATAAAAAGTGGACAGCTGCTTCTAAGATAACAGTATGTAATTTATCAACTAGTGATTTTTTTACTGTTTTTTTGAAATTCTGTATTATTTCTACCCTTTTTTCTGTTTTGCTTTTTTTCTCTAAATAAAAAAAAACCTTGATGCTTTAGTATGTTCTGCTCCTGTATGTTAGTTTCCTTTGTGTATATCCTAACATCTTGTTTATAGGTATGTGTATGTTTTAAAGTAACAACATATTACTGGCTGAACTTTAATATATAGCAGGTATTTTGGTTTGCTATAAATACTATCATAATTAGGTACAAAGGGACCTTAGGTTCTTTAGAAATTAATTTAAAAATCAGAGGGAAGTAAAAATAGAGTCAATATTGAATTTTGCCTTTGAGTTTGGTATTTAGATAAAGTGTTAGTGGTGAGATTATTTAAAACTTTAAAAGGGTTAGTAGCTATAATTGGGAGAGAAAGAAATTGACACAAAAAATTTCAGTGGAAAGCAGGAGGTTTTAGTCTTGTGATTTTCTTGTGTGCCATCATTGGTTTCTGTTCCACAGTGATGGGGTAGAAATTGCCGAGATATATTTTAATTCTTAAAACCTTAATATACCAAAGTTGATATAGAGTACATGTTCAGACCCAGTGTGTCTTTTGTCATCTCCATGTCGTCCTCTTCCTTTTCCTTTTTTGCAGTATTGGGGACTGAATTCAGGGCCTTTATAGTTACCTACCTCCCCAGCTCACTTTTATTTTTTATTTTAATAAGGTTGGTTTCGCTAAGTTGCCCAGGCTGGGTTCAAACTTGTAATCTCTTCCCTTGGAGAGTACAGGGATTATAGGAGTGCACTACCATGGCTGGGTAACATCACTTCTATTAGCAGATAGATATTTTCTAAATAAAGAGAGGAAGTGGACTTGATGGGAGAAGAATGGGCAAAAAAGCAGCAGCAAGATGTATCATGTACAGGTACAAACTCCCTATGATGAATGTTACCATTAGGTATATCTAAAATGCACCAATCATTTTTTGATTAGAATTTTTATTTGGGGGTTGAATTTATATTCTTTATATAGTCTAGATATAGTCCTCTGTCTGAGAAATAACTGGCAACAACTTTTCCCCATTCCTTAGGTTGTCTTTTCGCTCTGTTGGTTGTATCTTGTGCTGTTCAGAAGCTTTATAATTCGATATGATCCCATTTGTTGATTCTTGATGTTATTTCTTGTGCAATTGACATTTTGTTCATAAAGTCCTTGACTTCTCTTTTGTCGTCCAGTAAATTGTTTTTGTTTTAATATTTAGGTCTTTTATCCATTTTGATTTTAGTTTATTACATTGTGTGAGATATGGTCTAGATTCTATATTTTCTATGTGGATAGTCAATTTTCCCAGCACAATTTGTTCACATCTTTCCTTCAATGTATGTTTTTAGTCTCTTTTTTGAAGATCAGATAGCTGAATCTCCCATTCCCAGACTATTTTCATCACCTTAAAAATAAAACCTGTGCTCATCGCTCCCTTTGACATAAGAATTTTGAACCAAATAATTTGTTCTGTATTTTAGAAGTTAATGGTACAATTTTGTTTTGAATTGTTTAATGATAAGGGATGTTAAATATTATACACTTTTTTATTGGCTTCAATATAATGTGAGCTTTTTATGACCAGTAGTGAATAATAATAAAGGACAAGTGAAACACTAAAATGTAATTTAATGTAGTTTGTCTACTCTCTAGGAAATGCTATAAGTACACGTATACTGAAGTGCATGATTCCAGCAACCTTAATATCAGAAGAGTCTGTGGTTAAAGCAGTCTCCTGGCTCTGTGCTGACAAGTGTTCTGGTATCACCAAGGTAATCTTTCTAAGCACTTTGATGTTGTCCTTCAGAACCACTTAATGGCTGGGAAGCAAGAGCCACTTACAGAGTAATGGCAATGGCCTTTTGTGCAAAGCCTGTAGTTTTGGAACAGTATAACTCATTGCAAAGACTGTTCAAACAAATTTTTTCTTCGAAATAAAAGCAGTTATTCTGTTTTGTGTTAGAAGCTTCTAAAACAGCCCTGGGCAGGTGGGGTGAATTGAGTTCCTCTATGCCGGATAGTTATATTTAGAGAATTTCTAAAGGTGAATATCTTGTCTTTCCACAGGTACTTTTCTGTGTTGGCTGGTTGCAATGTTTGACTTCATTTATTGTAAGGAACAAATTAACTTGCTTTGTGGGTTTTTTTTTGTTTCACTGCAATATGATATACTGGTAAGTATACATTGGACAGCATTGAGCATCAGTCAAATCATACATATGTGTACATTGATGTACTGTATGTGCTTCTAGGTGCTAACCCAATATGTTTTTCCTTGTTTTTAAATATATAAGTATATAGAAAATGTAAAGAATAACATAACAGATACGCTTGTACCATGTCTCAGATTAACAAATATAAAATTTTTGCCAGGTTTTCTTTATATCTTCTTTTAAGAAAGTAAAACTGTACAGGTAAGAGTTGATTCTGCATTGGAGTCTCTGCTTATCTAAGAGCAGCGATTACCATTTTTTCGCCCTTTTAAGTCACTTACAGAGTGGTTTGGGTTACTTTTTCTACATTTTCTTTGTCTTTGTTTTTTTTTTTTTTTTTTTTTTTTTTTAGGCAGGGTCTCACTATGCAATTCGAGCTGGCCTTGAACTCACTTTGTAACCCAAACTCACAACTATCCTCCTACCTCAGCCTCCTGAGTGCTGGGATTACAGGCATGTGCTGCTATGCCCAGCACTATATTTTCTTGACTAAATGGCAAAACCTCATCAGAATTAATGAGTAGAGGATTACTTTTTGTGAGTTGCCAATGGACTGATTTTGATTAAATAGCATAATTATTCCCATTAAAAAATTGATAACTATTAAGAGAGTGATGGTGAACCTTTTAGAGCTTTGATGATACAAATAGCCTGCTGCAGCATGTGTGCCATAGGTTTGTCACCACTGCTTTGAGAAATCGATCTGCTGTCTACCTGAAAGACTTTTAGGGACCACTAATAGTTCATAGACCATATGAACCACTCATCTAACTCTCATTTGGGAAAGTAATTCCTTCATTGATTTCATTTTTAAAATTCATTTTTCTATTGTGTTCCTTGGATTATACTGGGCACTGTAGAATATTCAAAATTTAGCAGAGTTTCTGTTCTCCAAAAATTTAGAATTTACCTTGGGGAATTAAGGAAAGCACATGTTTTTAAACAACAACTCCAAAGTTAAATTATCAAAGACAATATTTCATAGTGTGAAGACAATATTTTATTACAGTATTTCCAAGAAAGAAGAGGATGCTATAAATTAATGATTACAAAAAGAATCAGAGTATGTAGATGTTGGGCTGGGCTTTGAAGGTTGAATACAATTTTGAGATTTGATGAGAGGAAATGATGTTTGATATGATGGAACTATTTCAAGCAAACTTGCAAGATGTGTAAATTGCGTTTTAGGAGACCTTAAATAGACCAGGCTGATTTAGTTGATGTTGGTATTTGGTAATGATGGACATTAAGGCTGAAAAAGTTGAGTGAGGAGTGACTGTAGAGGTCTTTCAATGTGGAATTCAATTTTATTCTATTCAGTGAGTGAAAAATTTTATATATGTTGAAAGCAGCTTTGTAGGAAGCTGTGGATAGTAGTGGCAAATAGGAGTTACAAGAGAGACTCAAGAAGTATTAGGAGGCTAACATAATTATCCATGTATAACAGGTTGAAATCCTCGATCAAATAGTCTCAAAATATGATCTGTGGACCCTGGGGGCCTCCTGCAATCTGAGGTAAAAATTATTTTAAAATAATGAGATATTATTTGCTGTCTTCACTATATTGACATATGCAGTGTTGGTTCTGAAAACAGTAGTGTATAAAACCGCTGGCACTGTAACACAGATGGCACAAACTGTACCGATGGTCTTCACTGAAGTTATTACTATGGTAAAAATCAGAAATGCCAGTTAGTGTCACTTAAAGTCCTAAATGAAGCAATAAAAATTTATTACTTTTATAAATCTTGTTACGTGCCATTAATGTTCTAGTATAATGAAATACAAAACCATTCTGCATACTTGTGTATAATAGTGGTTCTGAGGCAAAGCACTGAGTGATTGAGTTATAAACTAAGTAGCTGCGTTTTTCATAGAACACTATATTTGAAAGAATGACTGACATACAAACTGTTATTCAGTCTTGGATATTTGGAAGACATTGAACCTGACAGCTTCTTGACATTTAAAAAAATTTAAAAAGACTAGTGATGGGGGCTGGGGATTTAGCTCAGCAGCATAAGTGCCTGCCTTGCAAGCAGGCAGTCGTGAGTTCGATCCCGGTACCGATAAAAATCGAAAAAAAATAAAAGACTAGTGATGATATTGATGGCAATAAAAAATATTTAAAGACTAGTGATGATATTGATGTCAATAATAATGAATGTGACTTTTAGGTATCATAGTGAAATGGGTCAACATGTAGAAGCTTGATATAATTCAATGAACCAGTATTTTTCAAATGACTAAGCATGATGTTACAAAGTTATATATAAAGAAAAAATCCATTTGAAGGACAAGATGTATCAGTGAACTATAATGGAACAGACCAGTCATTTCATTAATGAGGTTTCATATTCCACTTTGAGGCTAAGAAATCACCAATGCTTAAGTTTTGCAGTAGTTTCAAAGCCACAGTTGCTTCTTTTCCCTGCTAGTAATGAACCTAAGAACTTGCAACTGCTAGGCCAGTGATGGGGAACCTTTTTAGAGCTTTCAATGAGAAAAACAGCCATAGGTTCACCACCACTGTCCTAGGTAGTGGACACAGCTCCAGCCCCACTATTTTTTGAAAGGCTATTAAATATTTCTCCCTTTTCCAACTGCATATCTTTTGTGAGGCTAGATTTTTAAAAAAATTTTAGTTTGAATGTAGTAAAAATACAACAGAACAAGACAGAACAAAGCCAATCGAGACAATGTAGTGACATTGGTACAAAACCTCAAAGCAGGGTACTGGGATAGTAGTAATAGGTATATAGTATATCTCGTTACCTTCACAATAGTTGTCCAGTCAATTAGGTATAAAGAAATCAAACCAATAGCAGAACATTGTAAAACCAATTGAAGAATATTGAATAGAGCAAAACAATCATTACAAAACATAACAATGAAAATAACCTTTGCCTTCAAACAGAACATAGAAGGAAATTCCCTATATTTGCTATATTACATATGGTTGTCCTCCCAAGAGATGGTTAGAATTGTTGGCAGCGGGGGAGGGATGTTTGATTCTCAGCAACAGCTGACTGGTTTTCCTCCTGGCTGGCCAGCACCAGGGGCGCTTACCAAGAGGGTGGGTAAATTACCTTCTTTTGCAGCTGCCTAAGTCCCAACATGGCTGGGTTTCCGGTAAGGCTAGATTTTTCAAAAAATTTAGTTACAGCAAACCAACATATGTTAACAATACATGCAGAAGCAGAGAATCAAACTATTCTATTAAGCCAGAAACATTAACACAGTTTATACAGGCCACGGAGTAGTGCAGTGTAGAATTATTTCCTGTGCAGCATGCATATAGCCCTGGGTTTACTTCCCAGGATCTCATGTGCGCACACACACACACACACACACACACACACACACACGTGTGTGTGTGTGTGTGTGTGTGTACATATATACTTACAGAAATGTGATCTGATATTACTATTTTCACTATTTTTGTTTAGAAAATAGTTTTTTTCATCAAGTGTATTCTGTCATATAATAAGTATTGTTAATGAATTAATATATATTAAAAATTTTCTCTTTCCTTGTGGTACAAAACCCAGGGTTTTCTCTCTTTTTTTTTTTGTCTTTTTCATTTTTATAGGTACCAGGGATCGAACTCACGACTGCCTGCTTTCAAGGCAGGCGCTTATGCCGCTGAGCTAAATCCTCAGACCCCAGGGTTTTCTCATAGAAAACTCTTTTTAAAATTTTTTTATTGTTGAAACAAGGTCTCACTCAGTTGCCCAGACTGGGCTCAAACTTGCAATGCTCCATCAGCTACTCAGAGTGCTGGGACTACAGGGATGTGCCACTATGGCAGGCCAGTTTTCACAACTTTAATTTCTAGTATGTTGAATATCATCTGATATCAGAAAAAAGCTTCTGGGTTTCTAGAATGTTTAAGAGCCTGAAAGGAACTAAGACCAAAAATTTGAGAATCACTGTCCTACACTAAGGAATTAGCAGTGGGAATGTAAATGAAAGGACAGATTTCAGGGGAAATTGTAAAGGAAGAATTGACATAACCTAGTGTCTGAACTGGGTTAGGAGAGGAGGCAAGAGTTAAAGATCTGAGTTTGTAAGTCAGAATAACTCAGTATGACAGTAAGAAAATTATGAGAAGGATCCAGTTTGGGAAGGAATATATATTTAGACTTGGATGTACAGAGTTAGAAGACAGAAGGCATCTTATAGGAATTCATTCAATGAGTATGTTTTTACTAACTACAAACTATGCCAGGCACCTAGTTTTAGGAGTACAGATATGAATGATACAATAGCTAGTTTATGTGAGGCTTATAAGCTAGATGCTAAGTGCTTAATATACGCATTAGTTTATCACATTTAAGATGCATGATTATCTCATGAACCATAAAGAATGTTGCCCTTAAACTCATATAATATCAATTATAGAATCAGTCCTGTTTTCAGAGGTGTTAAAAAGTAAATGTAAAAATATATAAAAGATTTTCCAGACCTGAGGGTCTGGAAAAAGAAAGAAAATAGTTAAGACAGAAGAGGGCAGATTTGGAGCCTGTGCTGCTGAGGTTTAGGATGCCTTGATGATATTTACGAAATGTATTGGGATTAAAAACTAGAATGTTAGAAAGTTGTAGCACTGGATTTCTGGAGGAGTTGGCTCCATGCCATAACAAGGTTCTGAGAGACCATGGCATGAATTGTTGAAACAGAGTGAAGGAATGAAGGTTAATGGAGTAGTAGATATTTCCTATATTCTTATGGATTTTTTTGTTGTTATTATCATGGTCCGTTGTCAATTACTGAGTGAAATACGTTGAAAATCTGCCATGAAGGTGGATTTGTCCGTCTTTGTTTAAAATTCGTTCAATTTTAATTTACATGTATTTTGAAGTGTATTAGAAGGTATATATACAAGTGGGGCTGGGGATTTAGCTCAGCGGCATAAGCACCTGCCTTGCAAGCAGGCGGTCGTGAGTTCGATCCCCAGTACCGATTAAACAAAAAGGTATATATACAAGTATGATTTAATAAAGGTATATACACAATTATAGTTTTGCTTTTTTTAAAGAAAACAAAAACTGATAGAGTTTCCAAACAAGATAATAGAAAATTAACAGTGATTAATGTATTGTGTATTATCTTCAAAGTAGTCACTCAGATTACAAGATACAGACGTGCAAAGTTGGTCAAACGTTAAGCATGAATCATTCTTTTCAATGGATCAATAGAAATTAGTAGTATAGTTATCTTAGCTATCTTGCATATGTATATGTGTATATACACACACATATATATACACACATATGTATATATTCTTTCCCTTTCGTCTTTTCTTCTTTCCCCCTTCCCAGTTGTTCTTTCCTTTTGAGCAGTTTTTTACTCTTTCACAATATTTATTGAAGATTTTGTATCTTATTTACTCTTTCAGTTTCTTACAGAAGGGAGAAAATAGGATGCTTACACATGTGAGTCTGATTTATTTCACTTATGAATACATTTTATGATGGAATAACCCTTTGCTGTCAGAAGTATTTTTCGTTTAATCTTATTTTGTCTCATACTAGCCTTCTACCCAAGCTTAATATTGGTGAGTAGTTGCGTAGTATTATATATTTCCATCTTTAGATTTTTGAAAAATTATTGTCTGAACTTATACCTTAAGTGCCTCTTATAAAAAGCATGAAACTAGATTTTTTTTTTCTTTTTGCAGTGCTGGGGATTGGACCCAGGGCCTCGTGCACGCTAGGCAAGTGTTTTACAACTGATGTACATTGCCAGCCACTGAATTTTATTTTAAATCTTGTTTGGAGAGTTTTGTTTTAATTTGGATAATTATTTACTTTTGTAGTGTTTATTCTGTAGTAGAAATAAATTCAAATATCTTGAGTTTTCTAAATCACCTGTATTTTTAATTTTTCTCTTTATCTCCTTTCTTTTGAACTGACTGTGGTTTCACTCCTATTCCTATTTGGAAGTTACATATTCATCTCTTTTTGTCATGTTTTTGTAGCGCTAAAGTTATTGGTAACTTGTTAAAGGTATCTTTATCTAGAATAATACAAAGACAGAGTGCTTTAATATCACATCCCTCCTAGTTTAGATGGTATTATACTTCTACAAACATAAAGCAGAAACTTATCTTCCCAGTTAATGTTTGTTAGATTTGCCCACATATTTTCAAGTGTTGTTTGTTCTTGCATTTTATACCTTCAATATAAAATCATTTTTGTTTAGCTAAAAGTATACCCTTTCTACACTATTCTTTCAGTTAAGATCTTTTGGTAGTAAACTATCTGAAAAAGTTTTTTCCCCCAAATTTTTGTTTTTATTACTGCATGTTTACAGTACACAATGATTACATTCCTTGTGGGGAATTGGTACAAACAGATCCCCTTCCTCTTCTATCCCTCCCCTCTCTAGGTTCTCTTTCCATTTGCTCTGTATTTCTGCTTCAGGTTTCTCATATAAGAGAAACCATATAATATTTAAGCTTGATTATCTGATTTCACTTATTAATGGTCTCAGTGAATTCATTTTCCTATAAGTGAATCAAATTTATCCTTCTTTATAGCAGCGTAGTACTCCATTGTGAATAACAACTACATTTTATTATCTCTTCATCTGTTGATGGACCTATAGGCTGCTTCCAAAATTTGCCTATTAGTTGTGCTGCTATGAATATGGGCATACATTTATACTATGATATATCTTTAACTCTTTCAGGAAGACAGCTAGAAGGGGAATAGTGGGATCAAATAGAATTTCTATTTGTAGTATTTTGAGTAATCTCCATACTGATTTACATAGTAGCTATAATAGTTTAGATTCCTATTAACAATGTAGGGATTCCTTTTCCTGCCCACAACCTCACTAACATTTTGTTTTGTTTTATTTTGTTTTGTTTTTTAAGTTCAAGATAATAACCATTTGTTCTGAAATGATATGGAATCTCAGTATTATTTTCTTTGTGTTTCTCTTAATGGCCAGAGATGTTGAACATTTCTTCGTGTAAACTTTAGCCTTTTGTACTTCTGATGTCTGTTCATTTTAATTGCCTGTTTTTGGATTGAGTCTTTATTTGGGGGGATCTAATTTTTCTCAGTCATATATGTATTCTAGATCAGCGGTGATAAACAGATGACACACATGCCATAGTGGACTGGTTGTATCATGGAAAGCTATACAAGATTCATCACCATGTTTTAGATATTAGTCCTTAGTTGAAGGAATAGCTGGACAAAATTTACCCATTTTGTCTTTTGCTGTTGGTTGTTTCATTTGCTAAGCAAAATGATTGAATTTAATGTAATCCTGTTTGTTGATTCTGAATGTTATTTCTTGTGCAACTGAGCTTTTGTTCAGAAAGTCCTTGCATGTGCCTATATTGTCAAGACTTTTACCTATTTTCTCTTCTAACAGAGAAAATTTTTTTTTTGTGGTGCCAGGGCTCAAACTCCACATTGTGCTTGCCAGGCAGGTGCTTATGCCACTGAGCTGAATCCCCAGTCCAAAATGTTGTTCTTTTAAAATTAAATTTATTAGTACAACTTAGATACACATAATGATCACATTCATTATAGGGAATTTGTACCTGTACATGAAATATCTTAGTTATCTTTATTTTCCCATTTCCCTCTCTTCTCTTCAGCCCTCTTGCCTTTATTATTTACAAAGCTTTGTTTCCATTGTTTTATTTTGAAGAAAGTAAAATTGAACAAAATGAAACAGAATAAAGCCAATCAAAACAAAACAATGAAACATAATGCCTCTTGTTATCTTCAAAATAGCTAGTATAGGCAGTTATTTTGAAGATAACAGGCTATTATATGGTAGCCATTGTTGATTTATTATCTTGTTTTGAAGTTCTGTATCACTTTCATTGTTTTGTTTTGATGGGTTTTATTCTGGTGTTTTGTTTGATTTTTTATTATGTTTGTTTACATTTTATCCCTTTTTTCTCATTTTTTCTTTTCCCTCCCACCTTCCCCATTTCCCTTTCTCTTTGAGCAATTCTATTTCACAGTATCATTGCATTTTGATTTTTATTTGCACTTTCAGTTTCTCACACCAGAGAGATAATGTGATATTCAATATATGTGTTCAGTTTATTTCAGTTAAAAGAGTATAGCCTCAAGGACTGTTTATTTTGCTATAAATATCTCAAATTTATCCTTCTTTATGGCTGAGTAGTACTCCATTATAGAAGAAAACCACATCTTTTTATCCATTCTTTGGCTCATGGGCATTGAGCTTGTTTCCACTTGTTTCCAGTGTTTAGCTGTTACAAATTGTGCTGCTATAAACATGAGTATGCATCATTTTGGCATGATGCTTGTAATTATTGTAATGCTTGTAATTCTTTTGGGAAGATGCCAAGAAGGGGAATATCTCGGTCAAATGAAACCTCTAGTCCTAGTTTTTTTTTTTTTAGGAATCTCCATACTGATTTCCACAGTACTTGCACCAGTCTGTACTTACACCAGCATTAGAAAAGGGTTCCCTTTTCCCCATAGCCCAGTCAGCATTTATTGGTTATTTCTTGATAATAGGCATCTAGTATAAGATTGAATCTCAGTGTTGCTTTAATTGACATCTTTCAAGTGATCAGTGTTCTTGAACATTTTTTTCATGTATTTATTTGCCATTAATTTCAAATACTATTTTTGGATTGAGTCTTTAAATTTGGAGTATCAGATTTTTTCAATTCTTTATGTTTTCTAGATATTAGCCCTTTGTCTGAAGGATAACCAGCTATAATTTTTTTCTCTATTGGTTGTCTTTTTCACTGTGTTAGTGATTTATTTTGCTGTGCAAAAACTTAATGAGATCCCAGTTGTTGATTTTGTAGTATTTCCTGTGCAGTCAAGGTTTTGTTCATGAATCTTTGCCTACACTTATGACTCCTACTAGTTTTACTTCTCTATTCCAGCAGATTTAGTGTTTCTGCTTTAATATTTAGATTTTTAATGTATTTTGATTTCAGTTTAGGGCATAGTAAGAGACATGAGCCTAGTTTTAGACTTTGACATGTGGAAAGCCAGTTTTTCTAGCACAATATATTAAAGAGGCTTTCTTTCTTCCAGTGAACATGTTTAGCCCCTTTGTCAAAAATAAGATCGTCGAGTGTGTTTGAAGTTGTTTCTTCCTCTTCTAATCTATTCCATTGATCCTCTGGTCTGTTTTTTATTTACCAGTATCATACTTTTTTAATCATCACAGTAGCTCTAGTGTATATTTTCAAATCAGGGTTGTTTTTCCTATTCTAAGTCTTTTGTGGTTCAAAGTGAATTGTAGGAATGTTTTCTCTAGTTCTGTGAGGTATGCTAATTGTATTTTCATGGGGATTGCATTAAATCTGTATAACAATTTTGGGAATATGGGCATTTTCACTATGTTGGTTTTTCCTGCCCATGAGCAAGGGATATCTTTCCATTTTTTGTTATCCTCTTTGATCTCCATATTCAGATTACTATAGTTTTCAATGTAGAGATATTTTACTTCCACCATTAGATCGACTTCTAAATATTTTATTTTTTTGGATGCTATTGTGAAATGTATGGTTTCCGTAATTTTTCTCGGAGAGTATGTTAGTTGTGTACAGTAGTGCTTTTGATTTTTGAGTATTGACTTTGTATCCAGCTATGTGATTGAATCTGTTTATTAAATCTAGAATTCTTTTGGCAGAATTTTGGGGGTCTGCTATATAAAATATCATTTCACCCACAAATAATGATAAATTTAACTTCTTCCTTTGCTATCTTTGTTCCTTTTATTTCTGTGTCTTGTCTAATTTCTCTAGCTAATGTTTCGAGCAGTATATTGAATAGGGGTGGTGATAGTGGTCATCCTTGTCTTGTTCCTGATTATAGAGAGAAAGATTTCAATTTTGTCTTTTTGTGTGTGTGTATGGACTATTTTGAGTCAGGGTTTAACTATATTGTTCAGGCTGGTCTTGAACTCCCTTTATACCCCAGGCTGGCTTGGTACTCAGGGATCCTTAGCGTCCCAAGTGCTGAGATTACAGACAGATGCTGATATTACAGGTGTGCACCGTTGTGTCCAGTTTAAGCTTTCAGTTTTTGATCATTTAGTAGGATGTTGACTGTTGGACTGTCATAGATGGCATTTATCAGATTAGATAAAGGTGATCTATTCCAATTTTCTGTATGGTTTTGATCATGAATGGGTATTGGACTTTGTAATGCTTTTTCTTCATCTACTGAGATAATCATATGTTTTTTCCCTTGGTTCTGTTAATATAGTGTGTTAATTTTACTGATTTGCATATGTTGAACCATCCCTATAATCCTGGAATGAATCCTCCTTGGTCATTGTATATAATCTTCTTGATGATTTGCTATATTTTGTTTGCCAGTACCTTGTTGAGAATTTTTGTGTCTAAGTTCATCAGGGAGATTGGCCTTTTTTTTTGGTTGGACCCTGCTCTGGTTTTTGTATCAGGGCAATGTTTGCTTCCAGGAATGAGTCTGGGTATATTGCTTCCCTTTCAATGTCATTAAAAGTTAAACAAGTAGTGGTTTTAGATCTTGTCTAAATTTGTTATAGAATTAGCAGTGAATCCACCAGAACCTGGGCTTTTCTTTATTGGTAAGTTTTTAATTATAGTTTTAATTTCATTGACTAATATTGGGTTGTTACTTTTTATAGCTTCATTCAGGTTTGGTAATTCATATATATATATATAGGAATTTGTCCATTTCTTCTGTGCTTTCCATTTTATTTGAG